ATCAAAGAGAAAAAGAGGATATGCAGAGAAGAATGGGAGAAACTCCCCAAACACAGGTGTGCCAATCTTGTAGCGTCATACCCAAGAAGACTCTACGCTGTAATTGCTGCCAAAGGCGCTTCAACAAAGTACTGAGTAGAGGGTCTGAATACTTATTTAAATGTGATATTTCAGTGTTTGATTTTTAATACATTTGCAAAAATGTCTAAAAACCTATTTTTGCTTTTTCATTATGGGGTATTGTGTGTAGAATGATGAGGGGAAAAAACAATTTAATCAATTTTAGAATAAGGCTGTAACGTAACAAAATGTGGTAAAAGTCAAGGAGTCTGAATACTTTCCGAATGCACTGTAAATGTTCCAACAGCTGGGAGTGTTACCACTCGACCACAGGCTCTGCATGAGACAAGACACAAGACCATAAAATCAAAGATCATTCAGAATCTCCTGTGGATCTAAGTGAAGGACCTTGACCCACCAACTATTTGTGCAGTCACACCCCTTTCAGTACCCTGTGCTGAGACTGTCTGGTCTCAAGAGGGTCTAGCTCTCTTTGTGTAGTTCTCCATAAATCTCTCTCTATCACGTGCATGTACACACACACACACACACATGCACACACAGAGACACACACACACGCACACGCACGCATGCACACACAGACACACACACACACACAGACACGCACACACACACACGCACACAGACAGAGACGCGCATGCAGACACAGACACACGCACATGCACGCACACACACACAGACACACACACAAACACACACACAAAGAAACCAGTTGATAAACCTGTTCAAATAGTTCATTAAATCATAGGCTCAGGAGTGCCTTCCTGCGGAAATGTTGAACCAGACCTTAAATCAAACTAGCCTTTAAGTGATCAGACACATCTTTGCTCTATACCTACATGTCAACCCAACTCTCTGCAAGAAAGCAAGAAAGTAACTCTGCAGTTTCAAGATTTCTTATAGTTGTTATTCTTATTTTCCACATCCCTAAATTATCCCTGGGCTCGAACACTGGGTCATTAATTCCCATGATTAGTGAAAGGCCCCATTGAATAGGGGGGCTGGTGGTGGTAAGTGGGCTTACAGGCCACACAGGGCCAGTTGTACAGAGCCAAAGTGCTGGTGGTAAGAGCAGCATGGCTACAGACCTTGAAGGGCACTGTCCCACAGGACACTCTCAAAAACATCCACCCATTTCCTCCATAGGGAGGCTCTCAACCTGCCAAACCCAGAAGTACCGTTGTGTGTGCTCTGATCTGGAACCAAACAACAATTAGGTTTTTAATACACCCACCCAGAGGGAAGAAATGTGTTTCTTATTCTGGCATCGATCAGAATTTCGGGGTAAAAGTTCAGGTTGCTGGAAGTACAGATTTCAAGTATTTTTAGGGATGGATGGCTTTAACTATGAGAAGGAAGTTATGTTACGTAGTATGTGCGTATATGTGGGCCCATTCCAGGATACTGAACAGGTCTAGTATATGGAGCTAGGCATATGAGGCAGAACACACACAGAAACTATATGGCCGACAGCGATGGTCAAAAAGAAGGAGAGCGGGATGCACCTTAGAGGACTAAAGCAGGTTAACACACCTGAGAGAGTTAGTCTATAGCTATTGCTAATCCTACTCCCTGACCTTGGGAATTTTCACTGAACTTTTTAAGCCCTCTTGACATTCAACACCATACCCCAACAGCCATATTTCCCCTATCCAAATCTCTCCAACAGTCACTCCCGGTCCAGACACACCCAAAGCCCTCTCAGCCCTCTTCCTACACCCCAAACCACCTGAGCTGTTTTCATATTTCTCCTCCTTTGTACCCCACCCCAGTCTTTCTCACTCACACTAGCGAACTTCACAATGTGGATGTCAGCCTGTTAAAACGGACCAAAGTTATTTCCACCAGGAGGACTGAAACAGAGCCATTCAATGCATTTATATTGGTCATGCTATGAACTCTTACTGTATGCATAGTTTGTATTGGCAGGTGTAAATCCAGGCCTGGTAGGTTTCCTCATTCCTGGCAGTCTGGCTGTAATCATATATAATGAGCGTGTCTGTGAATAGATCCTTTAGCATCAGCCACAGCTATGGAAGTGTGACCAGGTGTCGCTGTTGTGATACAGTGTGCGGAGGAAGTGCGTTAATCCTGTTTGTGCATCCTCTGTAATTTCACTTGTCTCTGTTCATCCTTCCCCTTCCTCTCCTGTCAGCAGTGCCCTACAGGGTTAAACACATCACACAGAAGAAACTGAGCTACTTGTTGTATGTGAATGGAGTTCATCTTTTTCACTCAAATATAGGCTATGTATGGCAAGTGTATGTATTATCAGAGAATCTGTCATTATAATGCCATAATGGGACAAACAGACTGTTATCAAAAACCTGTAAACTTAAGTTTAAATTACTTTTTTTGTTATTGCAGGAAATTATCTATCAACAAAGGCTTCAGGCATTGATAAATCTAAACCAGGATTGTGGCCATTACATAAGCATTATTCACAGGTAATTATATGGAAAGCTTGAACCACTTAGAGACAGTTACACAGTATTTACCTCTCAATTCAACTCAGTTTTCCTAGAAAATACGAATGAGTGAGGAAAAACTATGAAAGTTATCCATAGGTGAATGTACTAACTTTTACAAAGGTATTTACTCAGGTATGAGGCCTGTGCAGTATAATGTAGAGTGAGTGACCATGTCACTGCACAGGCCTCACATATACTGCACAGGCCTCACACACGATACATGGCCCCATTCATTCTTTCCTTTACACGGATCAGTCGTCCTGGTCCCTTTGCAGAAAAACAGCCCCAAAGCATGATGTTTCCACCCCCATGCTTCACAGTAGGTATGGTGTTCTTTGGATGCAACTCAGCATTCTTTGTCCTCCAAACACGACGAGTTGAGTTTTTACCAAAAAGTTATATTTTGGTTTCATCTGACCATATGACATTCTCCCAATCCTCTTCTGGATCATCCAAATGCACTCTAGCAAACTTCAGACGGGCCTGGACATGTACTGGCTTAAGCAGGGGGACACGTCTTGCACTGCAGGATTTGAGTCCCTGGCGGCTTTGTTACTTTGGTCCCAGCTCTCTGCAGGTCATTCACTAGGTCCCCCCGTGTGGTTCTGGGATTTTTGCTCACCGTTCTTGTGATCAATTTGACCCCACGGGGTGAGATCATGCGTGGAGCCCCAGATCGAGGGAGATTATCAGTGGTCTTGTATGTCTTCCATTTCCTAATAATTGCTCCCACAGTTGATTTCTTCAAACCAAGCTGCTTACCTATTGCAGATTCAGTCTTCCCAGCCTGGTGCAGGTCTACAATTTTGTTTCTGGTGTCCTTTGACAGCTCTTTGGTCTTGGCCATAGTGGAGTTTGGAGTGTGACTGTTTGAGGTTGTGGACAGGTGTCTTTTATACTGATAACAAGTTCAAACAAGTGCCATTAATACAGGTAACGAGTGGAGGACAGAGGAGCCTCTTAAAGAAGAAGTTACAGGTCTGTGAGATCCAGAAATCTTGCTTGTTTGTAGGTGACCAAATACTTATTTTCCACCATAATTTGCAAATAAATTCATTAAAAATCCTACAATGTGATTTTCTGGAAAAAAAATTCTCAATTTGTCTGTCATAGTTGACGTGTACCTATGATGAAAATTACAGGCCTCTCATCTTTTTAAGTGGGAGAACTTGCACAATTGGTTTCTGACTAAATACTTTTTTTCCCCACTGTAGGTCATTTCCAGCACTATGATCAGCTTCTTCTCCCTTCTCTAACCAACATGTTGATTTGGTCGGTGGAGGTGGTTCCCAAAATGTTCCTCCCTCTGCCAGCTGGCT